ATATTAGTGTTTTATCTGATTAAATCTCGTTTTAGTCAAACTAAATACATTTCAAATCGTAAAATATTGCTGTAGTATTTTTCAATGGATGAAAGAATTACGCTGCACTTTTTAATTAAGAAATCGTGAGGCAGTTAAAGTTTTAAGTCATTCCTATAAAATAATGTAGCTGTGTATATATATAATGTACGGTACATATAACACAATAGCATCGTATATGTAACATAGATGTATAATTTTCAAACACGGGTCGAGGTAATTGCTTTGTTTTTCCACGTCCTCGGATTTTTAGATATAGGGCAACCGTAATTGCGATTTTGATATAAAACACGGGCTTTACCTATTGTCCTTAAAAATATTTTTGTTTAGATTTTTAACAATCACGACAGCTCGGTAATTACATTTCATTATACCTTCTGGAGTCTATCAAGGTCGCTTCAATGTGTAACTGCTGCTTGTGGGTTGGCAAGTGTTCTCGCCCACATCCTTCGTCACGTTATTTATTACACAAGCTCTTAAGTGTCGTGTTTTGTACGACACTTTAAAAAATGTTCTGTCGTGTAAACGTGTCGTAATCAAAATTATAAACATTAGTGTGTGTGTTGAGAGGTGCGTTTCGCGCACGTTCGACCGCTTTTCGATGGGAAATTACTTCTGTGTTTTTTTTGTTTTGTTTTTTTTTCTTTTTTTTGTTCGTTTCGTTAATATTCATGGCATTTTTTAGTGCTCTAATATACTTTTTCCCATCATTATTCTGATCGAATATTGCTAATTAAACTCTATTTATTGCAGCAGAAAATGGTCACGACGTGCGCACTTAACGTGATTTTGAGTTCAATAACCTGACAATGACAAGTGTTTTAAAAGATATTGTCGATTTTAATGGTTAAATTTGTCTCCCATTCTCTACACAAAGTTATGTAAAATAATAATTTATACAGTCCATTTTAGTATTATTCTTGAAAAACTTTTTAAACTTTAATCATCTTTATAAAAATAGAAACTAATATAATGAGATAAAATCAAATTTTATGTTTTAAAAATAGCATTTTTTTAATAAGATTTTTTCTTATGCATTTTTTATAGAAAAAATTAATTTATTAACATTTGAAACAAAACGAAAATTAATTATATTCTGAAATCTGTCTTCAGTATTCCACGCATTCGAATTAGGCTATATTCAAAAATGGTTTATTATATTTCTAGAATTTTGGAAAAAACTAATGGTAAAACTGTCATTTATACTTAATACATTATTTCCGATTTTTTTATATTATTCTTCGTTTATGTAACTAATTTCTAAAGTATAAACATATTATAACTATAAGAATTGATCTAGTATAACCATTTTACGCATTGCAAACATTTGAACATTTTTGCATATTGTCAATTTGAATCTATTGCTTTTGAGTTTCGTCTACTTAAAATATTTGTTGGAATTTCTCGCGAACTATACAATACATTCAAAGTTTTAGTTTTCAGTACATCTAAAAGTCACGAGGTTTAATTTTAGATTTCATTTGCCGTTTAAATAAGCCTAATAAAACTACTATGTTAACAAGTCGAGTAGGAATTAGCACTGTGGTTCAATCGAATATGACGTCGTGTGAAACCGCATTCAATGCCATAAAGCATACTTTTTCTACTTATACCATGGGCAATAGCGTAACTAAGGAAGAGCCTAGAGAACCCGTAAGCAAATTAGTTTTGTAAATATCAATAGCTAAAGAAAAAATAAAATAAGTACAGGAAAAAAGCTTTGAATATGACAAACAGTAACGCACAGTACGTGTACAGTACAGTATACGTAACATTCGCAGTACTAGTGGCAACAGTGTTGTGATCGTACAGAAATGAATGTAAATTTTCACGTTCTAATTAGGGAATACATTACCGGGAACCGACTTACGTAATCAGTTAAAAATTGAATAGGTAAATCTATACTAATATTATAAAGAGGTAATGTTTGTATGTATGTAAGTTTGTATGCAGCAGGTAATCTCCGAAACTACTCATCCGATTTCAAAAATTCTTTAACCAATATTTAGAATGGAACTTCAGGGTGGACATAGGCTGTATATTATTCCGTTAAACATTCANAAAAACACATTTTTGTACATTCAACGTATACCAAAAGGATACATATTTCTGTCATTTGTAGTTGATGTGTCAAACATATTATAATAATAATAACAATAATAATTTACTTTGTATAGTGTATAGATAGAGGATTCCAGGATCGAATCCTTCACAGTTTAATGTAATTTTAATAATTTACACATTAGTTGCCTCTTCCGCATTAGTTAATCCTTTTTTTATTCAGTTGTTTATTCTTTTCATTTCATTTAAACAATTTAAACAAAAGTAAAAACAGAAAACTCTTTATAAGTCAAATGTCAACAGATGACAAAATAGAGTTAAATAAAATAAACTTGAACATTTAATTTACTGATTTTACAATTATAACTATTATAATTCGGCAATAGATAAAATAATCAGAATTTGCTAGGTATAAATTCATTAATTTTTATAGAAAATATAATATTTTTAAAACCAACAGTTTACTGAATAGGCAATTTCATTATATTTGCATTATAATTAATTTATTAACATTTGAAACAAAACGAAAATTAATTATATTCTGAAATCTGTCTTCAGTATTCCACGCATTCGAATTAGGCTATATTCAAAAATGGTTTATTATATTTCTAGAATTTTGGAAAAAACTAATGGTAAAACTGTCATTTATACTTAATACATTATTTCCGATTTTTTTATATTATTCTTCGTTTATGTAACTAATTTCTAAAGTATAAACATATTATAACTATAAGAATTGATCTAGTATAACCATTTTACGCATTGCAAACATTTGAACATTTTTGCATATTGTCAATTTGAATCTATTGCTTTTGAGTTTCGTCTACTTAAAATATTTGTTGGAATTTCTCGCGAACTATACAATACATTCAAAGTTTTAGTTTTCAGTACATCTAAAAGTCACGAGGTTTAATTTTAGATTTCATTTGCCGTTTAAATAAGCCTAATAAAACTACTATGTTAACAAGTCGAGTAGGAATTAGCACTGTGGTTCAATCGAATATGACGTCGTGTGAAACCGCATTCAATGCCATAAAGCATACTTTTTCTACTTATACCATGGGCAATAGCGTAACTAAGGAAGAGCCTAGAGAACCCGTAAGCAAATTAGTTTTGTAAATATCAATAGCTAAAGAAAAAATAAAATAAGTACAGGAAAAAAGCTTTGAATATGACAAACAGTAACGCACAGTACGTGTACAGTACAGTATACGTAACATTCGCAGTACTAGTGGCAACAGTGTTGTGATCGTACAGAAATGAATGTAAATTTTCACGTTCTAATTAGGGAATACATTACCGGGAACCGACTTACGTAATCAGTTAAAAATTGAATAGGTAAATCTATACTAATATTATAAAGAGGTAATGTTTGTATGTATGTAAGTTTGTATGCAGCAGGTAATCTCCGAAACTACTCATCCGATTTCAAAAATTCTTTAACCAATATTTAGAATGGAACTTCAGGGTGGACATAGGCTGTATATTATTCCGTTAAACATTCATATAAATTAAATTAAAAGATAGAATCTAGGTTAAGGCTTTTATGTCCAACAGATGGCGCTACGAGTACGACGCCCTAAATTTGCTTTTCTGTGAAGCATTATGCTTTTCTGTGAAAATGAACTAAAGCGGATTATCTTCTATCTACTGTATTTATATAAATAAAAATGTAATGTTCGTTTGTTCCTACCGATTCCATTGAAATTTTGACACAACGCTGCATTCGAATACTCACGTGTTTTTATATAATATGTCGAAATTCAACCCCACTGAAGGGATATGGTAAGGTTTAAGGCTTACGGTAAAGAACTCTGCTTCTATTTATACTATTTTAGATATTATTGCGTTTTTTGCGTTTTAATAGAGTACGTCAACAGAATGTACACTAACAACAAATTTTTCGATATTCCCCCGGGGAGAGAGAGACAGGATTAAGGCTTACCGTGAAGAACTTGGCTTCTATGATACTATTTTAGATGCGGGTTTTTGCGTTTTTGATTGCATTTTAATAGGGTACGTCAAGAGAATGTACACTAAGAAGAAATTTTTCGAAAAATTTCCCTCCCCACGGGGGAAGTGTTATAAATTTATAATAGATACATTTTGAGCCACAACAACCCGTGGCGGGGGGTCTGCTAGTTTATCGATAAATTCCGTAAAAATAGATAGATACATAATAGTGTTTTAAAGCCAAATATTTATTTGTATAAGGTACATTTGCACATATGTTTGTAGTTTTATGAATTAAAGACAGAAGCGTTAAATAATTTTTATTTAAAGGATGTTCCTGACCTAAAGGCTGTAAGATAGTCTACCGGAATTCTTGTAATTTTTCGGATTAAAGAGACATATATATGTATGCATGAATTTTTATTTAAATAAGTGATACTCATTAGTGGCCGAATGGTAATGAGTGGTAGTTGGCTGCAGGTTCGTGCGTGATTAGTGATCTGTTCTCGTGGAGTTTCCGGATTTTCTTTGTGTAAGTGCAGGAAAAACACATTTTTGTACATTCAACGTATACCAAAAGGATACATATTTCTGTCATTTGTAGTTGATGTGTCAAACATATTAGAGGACCGGATTATCGTCTGCCGGGGATCACTGATTTAAATTGTAAAAGTAATTTATGTCTTAAATTATTACTTTACAGTTCTTTACAATTTTTAAAGTATCATATTACAGCATTACTCTGACAGTTTGCAATTTGTTTCTTTGCCCGTAACACCTACACTTACAGAGTAATAGCGATTTTAGTTGGTTGACAAAATGGAACACATTTATATAAATGTGAACGCTTGCACGGAGTACTTTTTAATAAATATTCATGTAATTTATATTTCTTAATAAGCATTTTAAAGACTGTAATTAATAATTTTTAAAAATAAAGTATTGAAAAATTAAAGCAAATTCTGATTTTATCTACATAAAAGGTCAGACTGGATCTGGAAAAACGTACACAATGGGAACTGGATTTGACGTGAATGTGATGCCCGAAGAAATAGGAATAATACCAAGAGCCATGCAACATTTATTTGATGGTATTAAACAGAGACAAGAGGAAGCTAAAGAAAAGGGAATGATACCACCTGAATTCAAAATTAATTTATTTATGGAGCTATATAATGAAGAAATCTTAGATTTGTTAGACACTGCAAGAGATCCTGAACAAAAAGGGAAAAAGTCTCATATTAAAATCCACGAAGATGCAACTGGAGGAATTTATACTGTAGGTGTAATAACTCAGCCAGTAACAAGTGTAGAGGAGACGAGGCGTTGTCTAAGGATGGGTGCTTTGTCTAGAACTACAGCAAGTACACAAATGAATTCTCAATCTTCGAGATCTCATGCTATATTTACATTACACATTAAACAACAGAGGATAGTAAAATTACAGACAAATGAAAATGAAGAACAGATGAAGGGTAATATGATGGAAGAATTTGAAACCCTTACTGCAAAATTTCACTTTGTTGATCTGGCTGGTTCAGAGAGGTTAAAAAAAACTGGTGCTACTGGTGATAGAGCCAAAGAAGGAATTTCAATAAACTGTGGATTGGTAAATATATCTTTGTTATTATTTATTGGTAACTGCAGTGTGTAACAATAAACTTCTCTAGCTTGCTCTTGGAAATGTGATATCTGCATTAGGGGACAGGTCACAGAAAGTGACACATGTACCATACAGAGATTCAAAGCTAACCAGGTTGTTACAAGATTCCCTAGGAGGAAACAGGTAGCTAAATAGTTATAGTATGATATAAAGGACTTTTATTATTAAAATTAATACATTAATATTTTCAGTCATACATTAATGATTGCTTGTATTTCTCCATCTGATCATGATTTTATGGAGACTTTAAATACATTGAAATATGCTAACAGAGCAAAAAATATTAAAAATAAAGCAATTATAAATCAAGATAAATCTAGTCAGTTGATGATGATGCTTCGTCAAGAGATTCAACAACTAAAATTGGAATTAGTGGAATATAAACAGGGTAAACGAATTGTGGGTGAAGATGGCACAGAACAGATTAATGATATGTTTCATGAAAATACAATGCTGCAGGCAGAAAATAACAATCTCAGGACAAGAATTAAAGCGCTCCAGGAGACTATAGAAAGGTTAACAGCTCGTAACACTGAACTTCTAGCTGAGAAAGCAAGTGGACAATGGATAGAACCTGGTGCTCTTATTTTTACTCTGGCTAGTAGCTTACATAAGTCTTGCATTAGCATTGCAATTTTTATCAATTAACCAACTGAAATTATAAACAAAAAAATACAAAAATTTTGTTTTTCTCTTAATATTTAAAGATTTGCATAAAATTCAAAAGTTAACTATTTTTAGGTGATACAAATTCAAAATCTGAAATCACACAAATGATACAAGGTTACTTAAAAGAAATTGAAGAACTTAGGGCTAAACTAATGGAATCAGAAGAAACGTGTTCACAGTTAAGGAAACAAAGTCAAAGGCCTAAAACATTATTTCCATTGAGTCCTCATGCAGCAACTGTTGCAGTATCTGGCCAATATGCAATAACACCATATACTGATGGTAATGTAGATGATGTTCTAATGGAAGCAAAAACAGAAGTATAAAAACTAATTGAATGCTCAAAAACATTAAAAGAAAAAAGGTAATTTTTGAATAAAAATAATAATTTTTTTCAATTTCGATGATAATTTTTATAATCTTATTAGTGAAGAAGAAGAAAATGATGATAAATTAGAAGAAAATGAAGAAAAAGAGGTAATATATATTAAATTCAATTAAAGTTAAGCAAATTGTGCATCTAATTTAAAATTCATTTATATCTAGAAATATTTGTATTATTGGATTCTGAATACAGTGTCTGGAATTTTTAATGCCTGTTTATTCTTTGTTTTTATTTCATATTTTAGATAAAAGAAAATGATGATGATAGCTCATCAGATTCTGAAGCAGAAGAAACAGGTATAGCTTATTTTTATTATAGTTTTAAATACAGTAGCCCCTTGTTATATTGCTTGTTGGAAGACAAAGAAAAAGCATGATATAACAAAATAGTAAAAATTCTGGGCTTTTACAAAACAGATTATATATGCTGTGGTGTCTGTGAAAGCAAGTGGTTTTGATATAAAATAAACTTAGTTTTGCAATACTGAATTTTATTTGTTATATCGTATTAAATGACGTCTATGTAAACATCAATACCACGAATGCCCATTTAGCATTGTTTCTTTAACAATGACATTTAATGACAATGACAAATACTGTCCATATAAAAACAAACTATCAGTTTCGATTTTATTATACAGTACTATACTTCACAATAAATCACTTGTTAAAAATCTGTGTAATTTATATTTTTCAATAAAAATTATAAATATGGAAATATTATTTTAAAATTTTCAATCGAACATATATAGAGCATCAAAACTTACAGAATTTTTACTCAGTAATTTTATAAAGAGCAAAATAAAGTTACTACTGTATAAAAATTTTAAACTTTCCCTTCAGAAAGGGAAATCGAAATTTCACACCTTTGTGAATTGAGGGTATTGCCTCAATTCACATAAAAGTGTGAAATTTCGAATTCACAAACTTGTACACAAGAAGACAGTACTTAAAACCAATAAATAAACAACTTATATCAAAAGTAAACTTAAATGATAATTGATCTGTCAACCTGTTTTGCTTATTTATATCTTGACGAATTTATTGTTACACCCACAGTTGAAGTTTCAAGGACAGTGGTAGGAATAAAATACCTATTTTGTTGCAAACAAATTCAATGGCAATTGATAATTTTAAAACTTATTGACCCTAGTGCTTTTAAAATTTGGGGACTCAAAAAAAGCACGATATATCTGAATCCATGATATAACGAGGGGCTGCTGTATTTTGCCAATAAAAATAAAATCATACAAAAAAATTGGAAGATGCTTTTTATTTGGATTCATTTTTTCTGTTTTTGACATGCTATCAAAAATAGCCTTCAATTTAGTGTGCCATTTTTGGTATCTAGAAGATTCTGAAAAAATAATATAAATGTTTTGATTTTAGTATGGAATGGTATTTGCACTTCTTATTGTTGGCATATTGCTGCTTTTATAGGCTATTTGCAGTTATGCTGTTGATAATCTTGGTAGTTGTCTAAAATATTCATATAAACATGTGCATGTTTCATGTGTATGTTTCATGTGTATATGTGAAGCACAAGTAACGTGGTTAAGTGCGTCATGTCTAATGTCTTCTACGGAACATCTGTCAGTTTATAAATACTGTGTTCTTAGATAAAATATCTCTCTAATCTTAGAAATAGTCTGAAAGATTTCATTTCCATAAATCTTTGAGCAAATAATTATATTCTGTATTTAGAAAGATGCAAGTAGATCAGCCCCCTCTTGTTCTTATGTTCAGAATTGATAAATTCCATTTTCCTATTGGCAGACATTTTTGTACCTGCCTAGTTACATCACTGGATATAACAGCACAGAGTCCAGGATGAAAGGAGGCCCTGAAATGGGGTACAAAAGAAATGATCATTATTATACTTTTTATTTTTAAATTTTGCTGTTGTCAGGGCCAATTCCATAATATTTCTAGCTAAATTCCACTGTATTTTTTTCCAAAAATGAGCCAAGAATATCTTGCACAGGACACAAGTTATGGCACTGAGATATCACGTGTATAATATGAAGTTTCTAAACAAATATATAAAAATTGTTTGTAATTGAAATTAACAATTTAAATTGTTATAAAATATAATATAAGATCACAGTTAATATATAAAATTTTTTTGTTTGTAGAAAAGTATACTGAAGATTTAGCTAAACTGACTTGTGAAATTTCTATAAAACAAAAATTAATAGAAGAATTAGAATTGAGTCAGCAGAGGCTTCAAACTTTACGCCAGAATTATGAAGAGAAGTTAATTCAGCTGCAAATGAAAATACGTGAAACAGAAATTGAGAGAGATAAAGTTTTAGACAGTTTGAAAAGTAAGTTTTTGCATGTTTATATAATATCACTGATCAGCAAATGCAATACAATTTTATTAATGAAAAATTATTATGTTAGAAAGTACAGAAACAAACATGAAAGACAAAGTATTAAAAGTGAAGAGTGATTATGAAAGAAAACTAGGTTCTATGCAAAGTGAATTAAAGAAATTACAAGCAGCTAAGAAAGAACATGCTCAATTAATGCGAAATCAATCTCAGTATGAACAGCAAGTTAAGCAATTAAGACAGGAAGTTTTGGACATGAAAAAGATGAAGGTAGATTAAAATGCTAGTCATTTTTAAGTAGAACAAATATATATATTTTTTCTATAATACAAACTGTAATTTTCAGGTTCAACTTCTAAATAAAATGAAAGAGGAATCGCAGCGTCACAAATTAGCAGAACAGCAGCGTGTCAGAGAAATTGCTAAGCTGAAGAAAGAAAGCAGAGTTAAAGAACATCAACTGAAATCTCTAGAATCTGAAAAGAGGTTGAAAGAGCAAATTCTAAAAAGGAAACATGAAGAAGTGATGGCTCTTCGTCGAATGGCTAAACCAATGTCTGATGCAGTGGCAGGAAGAGTAGATAGACGCAGATGTAAGATATTTTTTGGCTATTCTGCTTTCTGGAATTTAATAAGAATTACGGAAAATATTTTCTAAGTTGCAGGAATGAATAGAAGCCTTCCATTTTCACCAAAAGTAGCAAAAAACAAATGGCAAAACCTAGAAAAAAGTGTAAGACAATATATTGAAGCTCATTCTTAATTGATATATAAAAATAATTGCATATTTTAGTGTTTATTTCTTTTGCAAATTAAATAAGACAATTTTTCAGATTAATAAATTGGTAATGAGCAAACAAAGTGTATATAACATTGAAAAAGACATGGAAAGATGGTTACAGGTAAACATTTTTTTTACCTGTCAAATATAAAACTTAAAGTGTGCATTGACATTATATTTTTATTTAGGAAAGAGACAAATTAAGTATTAAACTGGAAAAATTAAAAAAGAAGAAATATCAAGCAGTTAAAGAAAATAAGGTAAATAGTTTTGTGCATTAATTTCATTTTTATATTATTTTTAATATATTTTTCTATTTTCAGGCAGAAATTTTAATAAAAGATATTGAAGATCAAATAGAAACATTAAAAGCAAATATTGAGTATTTACAAGAGAATATATCAGAATCACAAAGTAGTATTGTACAAATTGAAGAAAGTAAGGTAAATGAAATCTTTTAAGCTTCTAAAAATATATCAAAGATTTGATCAGAATAGCTTTACAGTTATATTGTAGTCTATTGCTGTGAGGATTCAGATTTATATTTGAGAAGTTGACTACAGAGATGGTTAACTTCTGGTCCAGGATCAATGTTGGAATGATCAGAAAGGCATTCATGGAAACAGCATTGTCTGGCTTTTTATAGCAGTGACAGAGAACATGTTGAGCAAGTAAAAGCTTGCATAAGCATTTGCTACCTCAACTTCTCTTCTAATAATCTTGTTCAAAAAATAACTGAAAAAAACCTCTATATTAAGAATTAAATTTGTTTTTAGTAGTGTAATTGGGGTATCATTTCCATTCTTCCTTCATACTATGTGATCAGATCTATGATTGTTCAAAACAGACCATAATTGATGTAATTGAGAATCCAAACAGCCCATAGTGAATTAGTATTTTTATGAATCAATTGATCAGTTTGACATGCAATCAAAACAACATTAAAAATTTATTGGTGTTTGTAAATATGCTCTGTTATAAATTGTTGTTTCTCCTGAAGAAATTACTAGAGATGAAAACATTTTGAGACTTTAAAATGAAGCTGAATAGGTTAATTGTGGACTTAATTTTATTTATGATTATCTATAATTTTTCCATACTATTTTAATGGCTGGATGATTGAGGGGTCAAGGTGGCAGTCTACTGCTTTGGGGACCTGGGATCTAATCTAGACTGGTCAAAAATCTCCAGGAATTTTTCAGGAGTGGTTTGTCTGGATATGTTGGACCCTGTTCCATTCCATCTGGCCACCCCATTGTGGGCCTGGCTGAACCCATAATAGGCTTGCTGAAAGAGACCCTCTTGGTGCTCATAGGACGGAGAGTTAAAAAATAATTTTTAGATTAAAATATTATTACCTTCAGTATGCAAATATTCCAATTTTCTAATTTAAGCATACTTCTGTTTAGATCCATTAGAAGTATGTACAGTACTTCACAAGCTCATAAGATTTTTTTTTAATTCTAAACATTGAAGAAAGTTGTTCCACTGTTTGGTTTAATATTTTCTCTAATAGAGTGATTGATTGACTTTTTCTTGTCTATATTGATTTTTTTATTATTAACCATATATTGATAATTTCAGTTGATTATATTTGTTAGTCAAGAAAATTTTTCATTTACTAAATTTCATTAAAAATGTTTTTATTTTGAAAATTACCCCTCATATTTTAAAATTTAATCTACTTTCATTTGTTCTGTAATCATAACAATTCTAGTATTTTTATGATATCAGTGAAATAGGTATATTTATAATAGTTTATCTAAGATTTAGCCATATGATTAGCCAAGAGAGTAATTATTTTTCAATTAGACAAGCATTTAATATAATCTTCCAACTGTAAATTAAACTGATATTTAATTCAAATTTCTAAAAATATAATGTTAAATTAAAATGTTTTAAAGTTTGCTAATATTTCTTTAATATTTTAATGAAAAATTTGTTTTTAATGTTGGTCTATTATATTGAGAATGCATTACATTAATAATAAAAAAGAATTAGATGATGCAGGCTAATGAATTTCATAACTTATTTAGTTCAAATAATTTTGTGAAATAATCAATATTAAATTTATGGTAGAAATTTAATCTGACACCTACTGGGCCAGAGCAGTGACAGATTGCTGGACATTTTTGTATTCTCAGAAAATTTGATAATTTGTGATATGAGCATTGCAGACATTTTGTGCTATATGCTTCTAATTTGTTTAAATATGCTCAGTCTGAAGATGAAACAGTGCATGACTATACTGTTGCTGATTATACTGTAAAATCATTAATGAACACATGCACACAAATCATTTGTGCAATATAATTATTTTCCAGACATGCACTGTATTTTTGTCTGTGGTTTTCATTGCACCATGTGACCAAACAAATTCTGATTTGTGATGTACTAGCATGCTAGATTATTGCCTTTTTCAGAGGGTGTGGAGTTACTGGAAATTCTGGGGTATCTGGTACCAGATTATGATGTGCATCTGTATAGTTTTTTTCTTTTTAAAGCATTTAAAGAATGTTAAAAACTTTTCTTTGTTAAATGATGACTACATAATTAAACATGATGAAAAAGTTAAGTATTGTATTAAATTTTAACTGTGATCTAATACTTGAATCTAATTATTTTATAAGTTTTTCATAATTTCAATATTAAATATAATAATGTAGGTGTGTTTGTGTATATTTTAGGATGATTCAGATCTGTTAGATGTTGATAGTTTATTGTCTAGATCACAACCAGAAGAAATGAGATACATTTTAGAGAAAGCACTAAATATGGCTGTGAATCAGGTAAGTAATTAACAAAATTTTTAATGTAAATAATGAAGTTTTAATAAATAATTTTAAAAATTTTTTAAGAGTTTCCAAATAATGCAAAAAGAAATGAATGTAAAAGAATTGGAAGCTAAATTAAAGCAAGTATCAGATGACAATAATTTACAGCAAAAATTACTTCATCATGCTTTACATCAAACAAATGATGATACTTATGTTCTTATTATGGGAGATGATGATCAAGGTAATAATAATTAATTTAATGATTATCATTTTAATGGCTTTAATTCCATTTTCATTTTTTAATAGATATTGATTCTGGTTCTGTTTCGCCAGTTAACAGGTTAGTATCAATTCTGTAGAATATTTATTCTATTTTACTTTACTTTTCTGATTTTTAAAATGATTTCCAGTGCTGCATTAGATGTAGTTTCAATTACAAGTGAAGGAAAGCCAGAAAAAGTAACTTTATTTTAATTTTTATGTAAATAAATTATAAAACATCATTTTACATAGATGTTTTATCTAGGCCAGGAGGAGAACGGCTACACCTGAAGAATTATTGTATGGGGGAAGTCAGATAATTATTGAACCTCAAGTAACAACTATAACTGAAGATGTTCAAGAAAATAACGATGATGAAACTTATTCGTTACCTACACCTACCATACCATCTCATGGAATGACAAGAGTGACAAGTGCACCCTCTTCACTAAGGTTGGTTAATATCACAATTGAAAACATTCTTAACTAAACTAACAATCTTTAGTAATCATATCTGTTTAGGGAAATGGATATCCAAAATAAGGATACGTTTCTACTTAGGAAAAAAATGCAAGATAAAATGTTACCTCCAGAGATTTCTCCTGGAGCCCGTCGTAGAGAACTTAACTTTAATTTCCTTTCCTACTCACGCCAAAGTTCTACGTAAGAAATAATAATCTCTGATCTGTGCTTCAATTAAAATTAAAAATTAACTCTTATCTAACAAATCTGTATAATAACATTTTCTTTATATATAAATTAAGCTGTTATTGCATACACTTTAATTAAATATATATTATTAAATAGGGAATATGACAGTAGTCCTCCCTCATCTCCTCCTCCAAGTAGACGTCAGATAAGAGATGATAACGTATTTTCACGGCTAACAAGTGGAACCACGAGACGAATGAGTAGATATGAAAAGTAATTTTTCTTTTAATTATAACTTTTTAAAAATTATTTAATAAACTAATTACTTCTAAATTTCAGAGGTGCAATAATTCCATATACAGGAAAGCCCTCCTATAACAAAACTTCATTTTTTGTATGTACTCATATTGCTGAAGGACACAATAAGCCTGTTTTATCTGTGACTGCTACAGATGATGTGTTGTTTAGCAGCTCAAAAGGTAAATTTACATTACAAAAAAAATCATATGGTTAGACAAGAGTTTTTTATATTAGATTTTAATGTGTGTATTGTATTATTGAACAGATAGAACTGTAAAGATTTGGGATCTACATACAGGACAGGAAATCCAGACTCTAAACAAACATCCTAATAATGTTACAGCTGTACGTTACTGTGAATACACTAGGCTTGCATTTAGCATTTCTACTGCATATGTAAAAGTTTGGGATGTAAGAGTGGATCCATCGAAGTGCATTAAGACTTTATGGTATGTACAGTATATATTTGCATATAAATCTTCAGACTAGAAACAGTCAAATATTCATATTCAAATCAGATAAAAATTATCTTAACTTTCTACAATAAATTTAAGTTATTATATAATTAAGTACATAGATTTTGATAAATAGTGCTAAGAATATTTCTTGTTTTATTCTCTCTTCTGGGCAGTAAGAGGTCCTTTTTTTAATCATATCCATCATGGTTTTGGTCCAGTGGGGCAGATAGGTAGTGAGAGATGGGGCCTGACATATCCAGGACAGACTATCCATGAGAAATTGTTAGGGAATTGTCCATCTGGATTTGAATCCAGGTTTTCTGAGTGATAGACTGATGCCTTAGCCACTTTGTCCATCTAGCTGTCAATTATTGATGCAGAATAATCATTATAATTAGAAAAATCAAAAACTATTTTGTAAAATGTGGCTCATTTCTTCTATTTTTCTTATCAGTTGTTAGTCAATGAAATTGTTCTGAGTATATTTCAAATTTATCATATTAATTTATAAATTACATAGCCAACTATTAAACTTTACTATTTTTACTGACAGACCAATCTTATATAAAAACTGACATCAATATGTTGCTTTTATAGTAGTAAAATTTTAAAATTTATCTTTGGAAATGGCAACTTCATACAAAATTTAAGATAATATTTTTCAAATACATGGCATTCCATTCTTTTGTGGTGTGGCATTCACTGCCTGACAGAACCATATTCCATTGCTGAACACCACACTATTCTATTTGTACCTCCTCCACACAGCCAATTGGCATGACAATTGGAGCATCCAAAGTTTCCTATACAGCCCACAAAATGTTGTCAGTCATGACTGTTGGTCTGCTATTGGATGCAATAATCTGTGCACTCAGACATCTGTCTTCATGCTCCAGTCCCATATAACATTGCACTTTCCTTCTTAGGACCACTGTCTCCAAATGCAACTGTTATGGCATCACATTATGTTCTGCATTTCTGCAATTTGGCACAAGGACTAACATGTAGATTTTTGTCCAATGGCAATAATTATAATTAAATATCTGAAGTCAAAGTCCTCCCAAAAAAGGATCCACCATATTTATTATCTTCATATTCTAGACTATACATTCTTGGCGACTGACCTTTCTTTTTAGACCAGTAGCCTAAAAAGAAAGGTCAGTCGCCAAGAATGTATAGTCTAGAATATGAAGATAATAAATATGGTGGATCCTTTTTTGGGAGGACTTTGACTTCAGATATTTAATGAAACTTCTCATGAATTCATCCATTTGATAAAATTGCATATGACATCTTAAAGGCATTAGCATCCCTTGTTCCTTTTGTCAAACATGGTAACAGCAGAATGACTTGCTTTTCATGGTCATGATAATGCTTTGGCTGATGGTTTTATGGACTGGTTCCTCTTATATTCCATGCACATGCAGTCATTTCCATACTCATACATGTGCACCCACCCTGCAATTTACATGGATCTCACTGTGTTCACATCTTCATAATGTGATATTTTCTTTGTCAGGTAATATATTAATGAGGTGATAAATATGGTAAACCTTTAGATTTTTTTTTGAAAGTAATTTTTTTATTTTTAATATGAATTAAAACTGATTATCTTCGAATATATGGTATATAGTCTTCTGCAATGCATAAAATGCCATAACATTGTAAAAGGCAAAACAAATTTTTCAGGAGAGATGATGATAAAACACCTTTCTAGTGAATAAATTCCTTCAAGTCTGGAAGGAATTAATTTCAATTTTACAATAAAATGGTAAAAACTTACTAGGTTGTAAATTCTCTGAAATAATAAAATGATGTAAACATAAGCTAATAGGGCCAAAAGTCACATGGCTTGCACTCTGGAACTTGAATTCATATGCAAGCCATAACATTTTAAACTTCAAAATACAGCCCCTTACAGCTCTACTATCATCACAATATTTATTTGCAGCAGAAAACATTGTGTTTAGAATTTATTTCTTCAATAAAATGTATATAGGCATGCAATGCCATTTTTCTATATAGTAATACAATTATTTTCATATCATGCATTCATTAACTACAAATTTCAACTTGTGAGATTAACCACAAACAAACAAGTAAATATGGCTTCTGTTTTGGTAAAAATAATATGGAAAGAACTGTCTTAAGTTCTTTCCATATTAATAGGAAAAAACTTACTTGTGAAAGAAGACTTGCATTTATGTTTTGAAAGATTGCAAGATACACAATTTAGGCAGGTGTATGAAAAAATATACTGCACAAACACTGCCAGTGCATAACTAATAATTAAAGCAATGGCTAACCTGGCCAAATGTCTGCCATCATGCTGCACAGTTTTAGAACCACTGTATAGATATATATTTGCCAAGAGTGCCTGGAAGGATTTTTATGGAAAATTGACTTCTAAGAGTATTTGTTAGACGTGACAAAAACCTGGAAGATTTCATAGCCAACAAATTGATATTTAAACCTACAACCATGTATGTGTTCAGTAGATAAAATCCATTCAGCCATTTTGAGTTTTTTATTGAATTAAATAACAGCAAATTTATTAACTATTTCTATATCAAAAAATTCAGTTATTTTTAAAAATAGTTTTATATGTTTTTAAATATAATAGAAAAACTCGTATAATACTCTTGATATAATAAGTACTAATCATTCCCCTACAGTTCCTCAGGTTTAACAAATAATGGTCCTATGGTAATGAACACTCCTTCAAGAGTGATTCAGCTTCCTACTGGTGAAACTCAAATTAACGATATTGCTTTAAATCAATATGGGACCACGTTATTTTCTGCAGCAAGTAACATTGTACGAATCTGGGATTTAAGAAAGTAAGCTCTAGCATTCTGTCATCCTATTGCAGATGTGAACTTTTTTAATTTTTTTCTTTTTAAGATTTCAGAGTGTAGGTAAACTGAGTGGTGGACATCAAGCTGCTGTCATGTGTCTTGCAGTTGAAGAACATGGCATTGATAATAACTTAATAGTCACTGGGTCTAAAGATCATTATATTAAAGTAAGGTTTAAAAATAGATATCTATCTTATTTAAAGAGTAATGCTTATATCAGTTTATTTTTAGATATTTGAAGTAGCAGAAGGTGAAGGAGGCATTCATAGTCCTAAAGTAAATCTTGTTCCTCCCCATTATGATGGCATTCAATCATTAGCCATCAGTGGTAAATATTTATTCTCTGGATCTCGTGACATGTGCATCAAAAAGTGGGATGTCTTTGAGCAGTGCTTGGTTCAGGTACTTGTAATATTTTAAATTTACTAATGCCTTTTTATTGATGAATTTTAAGACATTTTCTATGTTGTGTACAGTATTACAGATGGCTGCTTTGTATCTTTCTTATCAGTTGCTATGCTGATAAGAAAGATACATTGGTAGCTCACCATTACAGTAAAAGTCATCATTATATTTTTATATTAGGAGTTTTATCTTTGGTGCACAGCCACAAATAAGATGTGCTCCAGATATGGTACATAATGATAGATAAACATGTCCATTGAAATGTACTGGATGCATTTATATTAATTCTAAAATTAATTTTTTTATAGCTTTTTATAGTACCCTATACATATATTTAAAAACAAAAAAAAAAATTCAAAAACTAAGTAAATAATACTTTTAGTCTTTTTTCTGTTATAAGTAGAGGACTAGTTGGTTAACTTTATTAAAATAGTAGCCTAAATATAGTCCAAAAAATCAATCTCATAAATATGCTTTTTTTATATTTAATCTTACTAAAGATACACTAAGTTAGCTACAAATAATGCATGACAGATGAAATTTTGAGTATAATAATCTAACAGGTTTTTTTGTCCACATGCTGTATAAGTTAATCAAATTCCTCACAAATATCATCAATGCATTTAAAATTGGTTTTTAGAGCACACAGCATGTGTGTTAACTAGAACTAATAACAAAACATGGTAAATATATTAGTTATGAACACTTATCTGTTATTTAATTCAAAATTTTTAAAAAATTATCCATTTGTGTAAAATTTTTGATCATTTCTGACCCCTCCCTCTCTGTGCAAAATGATTTATTAATACTTCTTGTAATCCTTTCCTCTTAAACTGTATAGGGTCATCCTTTAGTTGTTTAATCTAAGTCTTCTGGTTAATTTAAGATTTTTTAAAATAATAATGTTTTTATTTTGCATTTCAGTCGCTAAATCAAGCACACAAAAATTGGATATGTGCTTTAAATTTATTGCCTTCAAAATCAATGTTACTCAGTGGATGCAGAGGTGGCCAACTAAAATCATGGTCTTCCGAAAGCTGTCAGCTTCTAGATGAAATAAAAGCACACAATGCACCTATCAATTCCATTGCTACCAATTCAACCTCAATATTTACTGCCTCTAAGTAAGTTTAAATGTGTCTAGATGTTAAGTGCTTAGTAATTTAAAGTTCAGTTACATTATTATAACTGAAAAGTAGAAAATTATGCATTAGTTTTTTAGTTCAATACTATTGATTCTTTCATTTTCTATTCTTAAATGCTATTAATGATGAAAAATACTTTTCTTTATAAGATATTGATTTTAACAATTTTTATTTTGTAGCGATCATACTGTGAAGATATGGAGATTCCGCAGTAATTTTGATATGTCTCCTGATCTAATAGATCAAATTGAAGATTAGTCTTTGTGATTACATTGTGATATGAAATTGCTCTTCCTAATATACCAAAAATTACAAAACCAAACCTACATTCCAGTATCAAACTGTGATGTTTTTATACATATATATATATATATATATATATGATTTGAAAAGCTACATTCCTCAATTTTATTTATAGTGCAATGCACATATGTTGGTTTTTGTATATTTATTTTGCAGGTATTATTTTAGCTATTTGTGATAAAATGCCTGTTTCCTGCACTTCTTAGTATTACAAATTTGTCAACAGTATACATATCGCTGGAGTAAGAACTTGTGTTTGATCTCCATTTAAACCAAAGTGATCACTGTGCCTTTTTATTGAAAAGGTGTCTTCTTCAATGCTTTAGTGTAATAAAGTGACTTAAATTTTATTTTTAATCCAAACTGAAGCTCTGCAGGCAAGATCTGTACATATTCGAGAATTTAATTTTATTGATGGAAAGTATTATTAAAATTTTAAATTAAAGACAAAAATGAATGACTTTGACTTTTTTTTATCATTTATTCATATTTTTTTTAAATTTCTGAATGCTAAAACTTTACAACAGGAATAGTTATATGTAGAAGTACTGAGTAGCAATAATCTAGTGGCAAAGATAGTAGAGACCAGCCTGTCAATTTTGGACCTAATGCAGGATTTGAGTCAACTCAGAGAACTAAAAACTACAAAAAATTTATGATAACCTTATTTACATTCTGCGCTTGATTGTCTTTTCTTCTGTTTTCTCATTATTAGAGTATAGAATCTAGTAAATTAATTTTTAATCTCAAATTCTATTACTAGTGAATGAAGACAGTGAAACAAATGGCTTCAAGGCTCATTGCAGTTGTGATTTTAGGCTATTTTGTTCTCGTACATATCTGTCAGCATTTATTTCTTTCTTGTTTACAAAACAGTATGTAATAATTTGATACCAGCCATTGTAAATAGGGGTACACAATAATGAAAATATAATGCCTGAAAACTAATTTTGAGAGATATCATTGTATTAGAATATTTTTATCAATTGAACAAGATTGTTAGATTTAAATCTGAATATTATACAAAGAATGTTTGGTTGTATTACACTGACTTAATATGTGCTGAAGCACTAGTTTAAATAATTTTTATAGTATTGTACTCCTGATAAACATTCGGTTTTAGCAGTAACACATTATCCTCAATAAAGTCTTGCTCAGAAATTGCTGTTTACATGATATAATCATGTAAATAGCAGTCAATCAATCTCTATCCATGTAACAAGTTGTTATAAACTTTCCTTAAAATTGTCAACTAGAAACAAAAGCTTAAAAAAAACCGATTTTGATCATTTAATTTTGTGATTGTCTGCATCATACAAGTTTTTATTTTAGTTACAGCATAAAAATAAACAATATAAATTAAAATGTTTGTTAGATAGATAGGTATAAAAGAAAATTTTATACCTACAAATGGATTTCATTTTAATTATGCTCAAAACTACATAAGAATCAATTCATACATGCTAAGATAACCCAAATAGAATACATGAAAATTAAGTGAAATATTTAATGACTGAAAATTTGACACGGTCAAAGATCAGTCATTAAATATTTTCTCATTTTACTATTATACTAATTATTACGGGTGGGCGAGCAAGAATTCAGTGGGAACCGAAATGTAGGTTTTGCAAAATGTATGGGAGTCGCAGTTCTGTACTTTATTAAAAAAATTCAATATTTGTTTTTATATTATATAATAAAATTGTGGTACACATTTAATAATAAACACATTTTCACAAAATTGTAAAAATAATAAGCAAGAGCCGCATTTGCCCATGTCTGAATTATTACTTCAAACTTTTGTCTATTCATACCAATGTGTGTACATTTTACTTTCCTGACAGTGATGTTTACAAAAAAAGCATCATATTTGACAATTCCAATATTTTTTTTCAAATTTCCACATTTTGACTCCTGAACCCAAAAATGTTCAAATTTTTTTTTCTGGTGTCTATCCCATCCTGAATCTTAAATGAAATAAACAAAATTTGGCACAGCAGCTTGTGTACAAGAGGCATTGCTATTAAATTTGGTGGCAAAAGGTTGATGGATTGGAGATAGGCTAGTTCTGTATCTTGAGTGGGGTTGGACTTGAGTGTAGAGATGAGTTTTATAAACTGTAGTAAAGATTTTACTTGTTAGCATTTAAGTGTTTCGTCATTATACAAAGACACTGAACACACACACTTGTCCAGCAATTAATTAAAACTAACGTTTTTGGCCTGATTGATAAACCATCAGATTTTTAAATAGAAATTCTATTTTTGGAACTTGAAGTGGTGTTCAGTGTCTTATATACTGTGATAGTTCTAGCTTTGCTATTATTGATACATTATAAAAATTTAAATGATAAAAAATTTCATAACACAATCTCATATTAGTGTCCCACAATTTTATTTAAAGATTAATGAGTTTTATAACAGGTGGGAAATTTAATCATTTTCTTTTGCAGAACAAAATATTTGCTTGATTTTGTTCTAACATTCTCAATATAGTATTAAATTAATTAATATTTACATAAGGATATAAAAATTTATAACAAATTGTTTGGCATTGTAAGTCTCTTGGTTATTGTGACTTTAGCACAGAGCAAAATTTTGTACTTTGCATTTATTGGCCATTCTTGCTCTTAGTTTGCAATGATTTCATAAACTAACATGGTCTTAGCATGATCCTCACAATCTGATAGCATTTCTGTGCTATTTTTAACAATTCCATAAAAAAAAAGTAAAATTACTTGACAAAGAAAATAAAGCCACATTAAATATATCCAAATATGCTGTGTTTACTTAAAGCCACATTACATTGAATTGATATTGGCAAAGTATATTATTAAAACAATCATTTCATTGGAATTTATAAATCTACAATTTTTTCAAGTTGCAGTCCCACTGTTGTCCATCTTTCCTTAATCTCAAGAACAGAGTTAAGATAGATGAAAGACAAGGCCCCAGGCCCAATTAACTATATATGAACTTCCATTGCAAACTGGAAGTCACATTATTTCAATTCAAAACTTTTCCCCTGAAAGCAGTTAATAGATGACTGGCACAATTCCATTGCTAATGGAAAAGTATGATGTACAAGGGCAAGATGCTAATTTGAGGTAGAAAGCATATATTTTAAATGAAATAAATTGTCACAATGCCAGGCTACAATTTTTAATGTCACAATAAACAATTGCTTGTTATAGAGTTCATTATTTTTTGGTCTCCAAAATTTGCAAATCCAAACTTGAATTATGAACAAAGACTGCATTCACTGGTGGTTTTGGCTTAAAGCAAACTGAATAATAGCTTTTTCATTGGATACAAAATTTTCAGCAGAGTTGTTTAACTTTCCTGGCTATTCAGATTTTAAAGTTATGATTAATATAAATTTTGTGATGCCACCTGTTGAGAGATTGTTATTAATTTTGAGGGTAGAGACAAGTTTTATAAAAAATTGTAAATGCTAATAATTAAAATCTTAAGTCCAACCTCTCTCAAGATATGATGTGACCCTGACTTTAACTGCCAAAATTTAAGAAATGAAATTTGGCACAGTAACTTGTATAGAAGAGGCTTTGATACTATTAATCTTTATCCTGTCCTGATATATTAAGCAAGACAGATGCCTCCCACATGTTTCCCCCTTTTGAGACCCCTGAACCCAATAGTAAAAAAAATTTGGAGATTTGCAAAAATTGACAAGGTTCAAATATTTTCCCAACTATTATGTATACATAAGGGAAAGTAAAAAGTTGTAGAAATTATAATTTACATTTTTAAAGATATATAACTCAAAAGTATATTCTTAACTTTTTTTTTTAATGAGCCAAATGAAATGACAAAGTATTTGTCTTACAGAGAGAGGTTCTTGTTTAATAATAAAGAACTTGTAAATTTAACAAAACATTTTATTAATCAAATATAAAAAAAGAACGTCCAAATAACAACTTTTAAAATTTATTTATTTATAGGAAATACAAAAAAGAATATTAGTATAAAATTTATCTCAGAAATTATAACATTACAATACATTCCATATTAAGATTATTTACTTGAGTAATGCCATAAGTTTTGATGTTCTATAATTAAAAATTGAAAAAATATACCCACATTCCATTATATGATTGATTTTTTCTTCCTTTGAAAATAAATTTTCATTTATAAGTAACTTCTGATACTAGATTAACTGTGAATCACCACTGAAAAATGGTTACTCTTCTGAAAAAATTTACAACTTTCTAGAAAAAAAACAATGTATTTTCTGTTTATTATGTGATCCTCTGAAAAAACTAATACAATAAAACCTGAATAAAACAAACCTGCCATGTGATTTTCCAGTTACTATAAGGCAGAATTTCATCCAATGCAGAAATAGAAAATTTTTTGCTTTATCCAGGTTATGCAAAACCTAAAATTTCACTTAGGCAAATAAATGAAACTGCCTCCAGGTATAATGGTGACAAAGGAATATCTGGACATAATGTAATATTTTTAACATTAACAAAGATTTTCTATTCCTGGCTAAAAATTTTCAAGAATCGTATATACTCATTGCTTATTTTTGAGAATGCAATTTGTACAAATAAACAAAAAAAAAAAAAAAAATGAATGTTTTCTGTACCTAAAGGAATATATGAAAATTTTTAAAAATTTATATATCCTTGAGTTCAGCTGTATTCTAATATATCTGAAAGTATTTACAATAGAGCCTCGATTATCCGACCCCCAATTAACTGACCGTCCTAGTCGGCAAATTTCAAATGTTCGCTAGTGATGTGGCGCTACAATATTTGACTATCTCTTGGCTACTTTAATATTATTTTTACGTGTTTTAGCTGGCAACACTCATTCGACCATGAAAGGGAGCCAGTATTTAAACAAGGCTTAATTTTCTAATTTTTAACGATACAATAGGGACGATTAATATTTAAAAAAACTTTTTGTTATTCTTAACATCGATGAAAATTCAATGCGAAGTAGGTTAATAGCAATATACTAATATTCTAATTACATGGGATATAATAATATACTACACTAATAATGGATTTTTTCATACTTTTCGGTTATCCGACTTTTCAATTATCCGACCAACCCCAGTCCCCAATTGGATCGGATAATCGAGGCTCTACTGTANAAAACTTATTTTGTTAAAAATGCAATCTATTAGAATTTTTTAATTTATAACATTTATTTACAATTTTAAAAAATTTTGTTTTCTACACCTGATCAAAATGATAAGAGGATTTACTATATATGTAGACAGCATTGGATTAGCATCAAATAAGGCTCATGCACGCGCACACACACACACACACACACACACACACACACACACACACACACACACACAATGAAATAAATTAACACTGAGAACACTGCCTTTTCAAAGTTATCTCTGTTTAATAATGAAAAGAAATGTTTTCACAAGTACTTTCAACCTTTCAAAAACAACTTCATCACACAAAAATGTCTTCATCAGGTGAATGGCAAAACAACATTATTTTGCCATTTGTGTGATGAAGATATTTTTGAAAGGTTGAAAGTACTTGTGAAAACATTTCTTTTCATCATTAATTAATTAAAGTATTCCCTGGATTCTCAGACTGCAATATATTAATTATGCTCAATATTGTAAGTGAAATAGCTCTTAGCAAAAACTTGTTAATTTTCTTTACTGTAATAAGATGACACTCATAACTTTTACTATATTTAATATTCTATAAATATTTTTGTTTCTTATTTAAACATTAAATTCTATAAAATTTAATCAATTTGAGTGAATAAAACTTCTTCATATCAAATATGTAACTGTCAGCAGGAATTTGATTTCAAAATCAATTGGACTGCAAAAAGTCAGAAATGGAATCAAATCAAATGATGTAATGCAATACATCTTCATAGCCAATTATCATAACTTATACTTAAATGTGAACTTGTGATTAATGATACCAATTTGCCATGTATGGAATAGTTAATAACTATTTGAAAACAGGTTGATTGATTGTTAACTTTGATCTTTGTAGAGTTAAAATTCATCAAGCAAGATCACAATATCAGAATTTCTGATTGCAAAGACCCAATTGTATTATAGTGATACAGAGTGAGACTAGCTTTTGGTATTCGAATTGGCTTGTTCACTGTAATGTGAGCTCATATGGATTTCATCCAAATACAAGTTTTTAGACTTTTACAATCAACTAGTTCTTGACAGTTTCTCAATTTCATTCAAATATTCCCATCCTTACTTGGAATCACTTTGGATTAAACCTAGTATCAGAATCACTTTTACAAATGTAAAAATATTGATTTTACTATAATAAATTAATGTAATGCATGAAATTTATCTGGTGTAGTTAAAAAAAAATATATATATACTAAAACCTATTGAAAACAAACCTGCCAAAACAAAATTTGGTGATGTGCAATTCTGGTTTACACAGGTTTCACTGTATGTTTTGGTGATGATTTTAAACTACTGGTTAAGATTTAATTTTAATTAACTGTTATGTAACTAGAATTTTAAATTCATATTCATTACTACTATGTACAATGTCTATAGTAATTTAAAAGAATGAGAATGAAAGAATTGAAGAAAAAATAATCATAGAGATTTTCAATAATTCATCTTAAACAAAAGACAAACTATGGTTCAAAATTGTATATACAAATAAATCTTTCTCAATTTGAAATAATTTAAAACAGCAAATCTTTAATAAGAAAATAATTTATATGCATAATGTAAATTTCATATATAAATTAATGATTTATTTAAAATATATGTATTTTTCATACAATTTTAATAACAAGAACTTTTATTTACCAGAAAATAGTAAGTCTCAATTTACATATTAAATAGTTTTTTAAATTTTCAAAACAAGGAAGAAAATATACATAAATTAATAGAATTATAGAAGTAAAAATATCACAGTTTGGATCTATCTGATCAAATCCCCTATTTATAATAAGGAAGTAGATGTCCGTAACATTTAATGTTTTACAAAACTATTATAAAATATGTTAGGCTTAATTTAAGCTGTATATAATTCATTTATTAAAATTATCGAGCAACTTTGATCCATTTATTCCTCTGACGGTGACGCGATTCGGCCGCACCATCAGACCATGATTGGGCTTGCAGGAAAAATATCGATGGCCCTGAACGCTGCCGTCATTTTTGCCTTTGGGTTTTCGAAGTTCTACTCCGAGCCATATTCCGCTTGCAAATTCCACATTTCCAATGTATCTAACAGTCGCTACACAATAACGCATATTCTCATTACTACTTATTCTAATGCAGAGTGATGAATGACGTAGTTATTATTATTAATATGGTGTTAGTATTTTAACTTACCAATTTCATTTTTAACAAAAATATTTGTTCCGATAGCCAACCAACAATCTTTGTTGAGATTTGTAGTATTTGCATAAGACCTATGTGTTAGATACATGCAGCATTCCATTCAAAATTATTTTCTATAGAAATAATGGTTATTTCTATCTAATTAAATAATTTTCATATACAAACCTTTTGTGTTTCATAGATCTTGTAGAATGCTGAGATTCTAGACTTGACATTTCATTTTCACCATCTGTAAGTATAAATTACAGAAACACAAAACTTTTGAATAATAAAATATAAATTTTTCACAAAATTTTTAATAATTATAATAATAAAGAATCACCTGTTGAACTCCTGCTATTACTCAAATTTAAATTAACAGATGAACTGTGATCTGAAACACTATCTGATCGTCTTGATGTACTGTATCTAATTACAAAATAATATAGTTTAATATTAAACATATAATGAATTATATTTATTTAGGATTTCTTTTACTTACTTTGTTATTTTAGCATGAGAAACAAACAAACCATGGTGTGGTTTGCAAGTAAAATATTTTATACCATGAATACAACCATCATTCTTACCTTCTGGTTTATCAAGTTCTATTCCATACCATATACCTAAATTTCAAAAATAAAAATATTTTAATTAATGTTTCAATTGATACATGATTCCATTGATGCTATATTCTATATATATATATTTTCAAAGTTATCTCTATTTCATTTTATGATTAATAATTAACAAAATATTCACTAATCTTATAAAATAAAAATTGACTATTCTAATCGTAAAACTTATTTTGTTAAAAATGCAATCTATTAGAATTTTTTAATTTATAACATTTATTTACAATTTTAAAAAATTTTGTTTTCTACACCTGATCAAAATGATAAGAGGATTTACTATATATGTAGACAGCATTGGATTAGCATCAAATAAGGCTCATGCACGCGCACACACACACACACACACACACACACACACACACACACAATGAAATAAATTAACACTGAGAACACTGCCTTTTCAAAGTTATCTCTGTTTAATAATGAAAAGAAATGTTTTCACAAGTACTTTCAACCTTTCAAAAACAACTTCATCACACAAAAATGTCTTCATCAGGTGAATGGCAAAACAACATTATTTTGCCATTTGTGTGATGAAGATATTTTTGAAAGGTTGAAAGTACTTGTGAAAACATTTCTTTTCATCATTAATTAATTAAAGTATTCCCTGGATTCTCAGACTGCAATATATTAATTATGCTCAATATTGTAAGTGAAATAGCTCTTAGCAAAAACTTGTTAATTTTCTTTACTGTAATAAGATGACACTCATAACTTTTACTATATTTAATATTCTATAAATATTTTTGTTTCTTATTTAAACATTAAATTCTATAAAATTTAATCAATTTGAGTGAATAAAACTTCTTCATATCAAATATGTAACTGTCAGCAGGAATTTGATTTCAAAATCAATTGGACTGCAAAAAGTCAGAAATGGAATCAAATCAAATGATGTAATGCAATACATCTTCATAGCCAATTATCATAACTTATACTTAAATGTGAACTTGTGATTAATGTGATGATTTAAATAAATTCAGTTTATAAGACATTCTATTTCATTAACAGAAACAAGAATAAATTTATACTTAAATGTGAACTTGTGATTAATGTGATGATTTAAATAAATTCAGCTTATAAGACATTCTATTTCATTAACAGAAACAAGAATAAATTTTTATACCAATCAATATTGTTTTTAAGTTGTTATTGTTTTTATTACAAAATATTTTTATAGTATTAAGTTTCAAAAATTTCTACTCAAAGTATATTGTTTGTTACTGGAGTAAATAAAAATAAATATTTTTATTTCACATATTATTAAGAAATTGACTATTTTATCATGAAGAAAAAAAAAAAGCTTTTCACTGAACTAAAAGACTATATGAAGGAAAAATGGAAGCAGACAATATACAGGAAATCCTCATTAATTCGAACTTGGATAGTTCAAAATCCTATTAGTTCAAAACTGTATTTTTTTCCGCCATGAATATAATATTTTACATGTTAAGGAATTTGGTTCTTTCGAAATATGGCTACTTTGAAATTTGAAGTGAAAATTCTGTCCAAACTGTCATGTGTATGTTAACTTGTTCAATTTAGATCAAAGTGCCTCCATACTATAAGAGAATAATAAACCAAGAACAACTCTAATCTGGTATGTATGGCTTTGCTTTTACAGTAACATGTTTTTGGGTGCCACCTTACCTATGGACTATCCTTTTTTTCACTTATATGATAAAATAATGCTGATTTTCAGGATTACAAGATTGGGCTGTGCCTACAGATACAGATTGAGATATTTGTAGGGCTCTTACATTTAGGCAATTTACTACTTTTTGGGTGACTTTTAAAATAATTTCAACAACATTGAGGAATTCCACTTTGCTTTTTATAAAAGAAAACCTATAAGGTTCTCACCAAACACTTGCTGTTTACCTTCATATTTATATTATTATTATTAACTAACTAACAAAAATAGCATTCTGTATATGTAGCTGTATTCCATTTGCTTAATAAATTACATCAGTTACCTGCATTTAGCATATTGTACAGATATATGTAAATCTTGGATAATTCAAAATTTGATTATTCGAATCCGCGATTTTTTCATCCCTTGAATTTTGAATTAATGAGGATTTCCTGTAATTAGTAATAAAACTGAATATATATTCAAGGAAAAAGTATCATGATTCTACAACAATATTTTGAATGGGTATTTCTAAATATGGCATTAAAGTAAATTCTACCTTATACTAACATTTAAAGAATCTTGCATTATTTATATTGAATTTCCAAATTACTAAAAGATTTGTTTTGATAAACAGAATCAGATCTACAACAACAATCCAAATTTATTTATAATAATGATATCTTTATTATAAAATTGATTTAAGCATAACAAAAAGATAAAAATGGTTAATAAATAAATAAATAAATAAATTTAAATTGCTTTAATAATAAAACTGAATATAAAAATAAACAAAATCTAAAGTAAAATTATAATCAATGCATCATATTATTTATGATTCTTCATACATGACTAGCTAAGGTATAATAAATTTAGGAATTTGTTGGCAAGATTTCCTATTTTTACTCTATCATTTATTTTTCTTTAAATTTTTATGACAAGTTCTTAAATATTAATTAGGCTTAGAATCATATTTAATATTTTATTTAAAATATATTATAAATTTATACCTGAATGAAAGGTTATGCTGCTTAATAATGAAGCTTTTCATGTTTGACAAATTAAACCAAATAATTTTTCATTAATTCTTTCTTAAATTAATACTAGATATTATTAATTGTTTTTAAATTTGCTCTTCTAATCCTTTCTTTGTTATATCCTTAAGTTATTTTGCTCATCAATTTAGAAATTATGAAACTGGAATTGGAAATTGGACACTACAAAAAATTTAACATGAAACAAATAATGATAATATATTACAACTTTACACTAGTTTTCTTCTATTTTTGTTTTACTTTATCACAATATAATATTTCACATATGTTTTGTCTTAAAATTCTTGTATCATAAAGGTATATATTTTTATTCTATGTGCAAGCAATATATATAAATTGTCTTGTGAATATTTTTAATGTTGTTATTTTTCTGAATTTCATTCTTATAATTTTATTTTTATGTTATGTTGATATATATTTAAATGAAAATAACTCCACTCTTTAAAAATTTTTTGACACTTCTCAAAAATTATCTAACATCTAAACCAGCGATGTCCAACCAACAGCCCTTTTAAAACAGTAACTATCTTGTATAGACTTTTATTATAATGAAATATTGCATGTATAGTTAAATACATTAATATAATGTATAACACCTTACCACATACTGTACACTCAGAAATTAAAACAGTATTAAATATTTTTTAACAAACCTTCAAATGTATTACATAGTGTATATATATATTTAATCAGTATGTTTACAACAATAAATATTTTTAAATTGGTGTTTTGGTACAGTGAAATTATTCTTCCTTAAATTTGCCGTATATGTGTAATAAATGTCAAACAATAGACACTTTCTTAAGTTACAATGGTCTTCTGTGTTTCCAATAAATGATAAGAAATTTTATCATTTTCTTTAAATTCTTTGGAAACAAGCCTAATAAAATTTTAATTAGAATTACACATTTACATGTGCATATAGATTTAAAATTTCAAATCATTCTGTGTTTAGATTGTTAATGGGTTTAATTATGTTTTACTGTGCAAGTTATTTGATTATAGTCAGCCACCAAGGGGCACTTCATGTAAATGTTATGTTCTGTAGGTTATTTCAAAATCAGATGACAATTAGTTACTTGTTTTCTTTTCTTTGACTTGGCAGCCATTTTTAATAAAATTATTCTCTAGCTATCTCTGCTAGTTAAGTCATGGAAAATGCTTAAAATATTTTGGAAATTGAGAGAAGAAATTTATTATAATTTTTATGAATGAAAAGAACCAGAATGTTCATAAATTATATGACAAACAGTGGTTTTTGGATTTATGTTTCCTTCCAAATATCACAATGAAATTAAACAAACTTAATAAGCATCTTCAAGGTGAAAACAAACTGATCACAGACTGTTATCAAAATATAAAAGCATTCATAGCAAAACTCAAACTTTATGAAAGTCAATTAAAATCAAAAACTACAATTCATCATCCAAAATTACATAAATTTAATAGTGACAAAAACATTTTTCTAAATATGCACAAGAAATTACTAATTTACTAATATAATTTCAAGAAAGATTTTCATATTCAAAAATTTATGAGAATATATTTGATATTTTCTTATGTCCATTTGACATTGTTGTGGAACAAGCTCCAACAAATTTGCAGATAGATTTGATAGATCTGCAAATTTGATCATCTTCTGAATTGAAATATATGTTTAAAGCCAATAACAAAGTTCAGTTTTATACAAAATATGTCTGTAATGATAAATTCCCTAACCTAAAAAAAACTCGATGAGCATTATAGCTGCAATGGGAATCACCTATCTTTGTGAATCTTTTTTCTCAAAATTGAAGATTGTTAAATGTAAAAGTCATAATAGATTGACAGATAAAAATTTAAAAAACACCAATTATGTTGTACATCATCAAAAATACCTGTTGATATTAAAAAATTAAGTGAAAAAATTGAAAAGCAAGTTTCACATTAGAATACATGCAAAATACTAGATAATTGTATATGTTTTATTGTAAATAAATATGTGAGACCCACATTGTATTTTTTTTTTGGTTTTGGCCCAGTAAACAATTTTAGTTGGACTACACTGATCTAAACATCAATCATGCAAATTGCTTCTTGATATTTTGAAAAAAACTTAAAATAATATACTAATATATATATTTTAGCTTTATTGATCTGTTTATTCACTTGTAATATTATTTAACTAGTTATATTTCTATTCAAATATAATTTTTTATTGGATTAATTTCTATAGCAAAAAGTTTTTATATTTTATGAAATTATCTATGAAGTATCTTTAAAGAGTCCATAATATGAACTATTTCTCTATGAAAATGCTTCTCTATTCATACTCAGAGAACAGTTTAAAACATCTCTCTTTTTAAAATTACATAACATTTAAAATTTTATAAAATAGCTATTAAAAAAGTTAAAATACTAAAATAATTTTCCAACATTATAAAATATAATTCATACCCAAAGCAAATTTTGTTTCACCAATGTATTTAATTGTTCCACTTCTTCCACTTACATAAACCCTATCACCAATTGCAGCTTCTGATTGAGACTTAATAGAGGAAAGACCTACATAATATAAAAGCACTTTTATATTTTATCACAAGAATCTAAATTTATGAAAACGTACCTGTCTCAATCTTTGAAGTTATCCGAGAAATATCGATCCTCGGATGATTGATATGTCGTGGCAATAAAGATCGATGGTAGACATTTGTTTTTAAATTTGATTTTAACACACTATATTTACAAATCTTTGAAATTGGAGCAAAAATGCCTAAAAATAAAAATTATTCATTATGCACATTTATTCATACAGTTTTAATTAATTAATATATTTAATAACTAATGATACTGTTGAATATCCTATTTATGATAAAATTCTTTTTTTCAAAAAGAATAATTGTAGTAATTGTTACTTTTGCATATACCAAAATAAATATTAATGTAAAAACTAATATGGAAAAAAAAGCAAAATTCAAAATAAATATAAATTAGATAAATGATAGATCCACAATTTCTATATAAATAATGAAAAGTTTATTATATACATAATTAAAGAAAAGATATTCTATTCCAAATTATCAGAATTAAAAAATAGAGCAATAAGAAAGTACAGTGGTACTTTGGTATACGTCTGCTTTAGAATACGTCAAATTCGGAATACGTCCTGTTTGGACAAAACAACTTTTGCTCGGTATACGACTTTTGTTCGGTATACGACTTAATTATACGCGCCATCTATGAACAAGTAGCACTATCGGTGTACTAGACCAGACTAAATGTTCGCGCTGCCACGATTTATAACTTTGTTAAATTTCTTCTGATTTTAATTTGTAAGTAAAATTTTATTATTTTTATTAATCATGAATTGTGAAAATGCAAATGAAAAGCAACAGAAAACTAAAAAATGACTAGAATCACAATAGAACTGAAAAAAGAGATTGTTGAGAAATATGAATGTGGCATGCGTGTTCGAGATTTAACTGTTGCATGCCGTATTCCGAGAACGACGATATCGACAATCGCGAAAAATAAAGACATTATTAAATTTGCTAACGTTGTGAAAGGGGTTAAATCAAGTTCTAAACAGAGATTGAAGACATTAGATCATGTTGAGAAATTGCTTTTGCTTGGATAACTGAAAAACAGTGTGCTGGCGACATCCTATCAGAAGCAATTATTTGCGAGAAAGCGAAAAAGATACATGCTGATCTCATGAAAAATCAAGCAGGAACTAGCCAGTAAAGCGAGGTGTTAAAGCCAGCCATTTTTTTTCATATGAGAACGGATTAATCATTTTTACATTACTTCTTATGGGAAAGGTTGGTTTGGTATACATCCAATTCGGTATAAGTCCAAACATCAGAAACAGATTAAGGTCGTATACCGAGGTTCCACTGTAATAGTTTTTATGAATTTATTATTATATGAATATGTTTATTATTACATGAATATGTAATTGTAAATAAATAATTTCATATACATACATCATAAATTGAATTATTATTTTGTTAATTGAGCAAGCAATTAACTTTTCAAAAAAATATAAACCAAATGAAGCCATACTTCAATAAAAAAAAAGTATTCAAGAAACTAAACTCTTAATTTTTCATTTAAAACTTTTCTCCTTGTTGTCATCATCATTTGCAAACAGTACAGATTAATGCTCTGCAACCTTTTCTCACCCTCAGAACACCTAACCTTTTCCAGAATACTGCAGAACACAAGCAAAAATATTAAAACTAACTTTATGATTAAAATTTAGATTATTTTTGAAAATGCTTTAAAGACACATAAAGATATTCTATTGAACTGAAGAATACTGTAATTTGAAATTATGAAATAAATGCTTTTGTTTTGAATTTCAAACCAAAGACTTCATTATGTAAAATTGTATACTGTATACACAGGAAAATTTAACTCATTACTATTATTATTATTATTATTGTGTTTAGTGGGTTATACTTGGTTCACACCGGTAGCTGTGTACTATGCCAGACCAGAGTCAAGGCATAGCAACCAAAATAAAACTAAAATTAAATAAGTGTGTCAGTGTCTGTATTCAGGAATTTCCTAACAATATGGCATGTATTCAATATAGTGGCCTTCTATAGTGTTATGTATGTACAGTAGAGCATCGATTATCCGACTCAATTGGGAACTCAGGTTGGTCGGATAACTGAAAAAATCAGATAACCGAAAAGAACAAAAAAAAAAAAAAAAAAAAAAAAAAAAAAAAAAAAAAAAAAAAAAAAAAAAAAAAAAAAAAAAAAAAAAAAAAAAAAAAAAAAAAAAAAAAAAAAAAAAAAAAAAAAAAAAAAAAAAAAAAAAAAAAAAAAAAAAAAAAAAAAAAAAAAAAAAAAAAAAAAAAAAAAAAAAAAAAAAAAAAAAAAAAAAAAAAAAAAAAAAAAAAAAAAAAAAAAAAAAAAAAAAAAAAAAAAAAAAAAAAAAAAAAAAAAAAAAAAAAAAAAAAAAAAAAAAAAAAAAAAAAAAAAAAAAAAAAAAAAAAAAAAAAAAAAAAAAAAAAAAAAAAAAAAAAAAAAAAAAAAAAAAAAAAAAAAAAAAAAAAAAAAAAAAAAAAAAAAAAAAAAAAAAAAAAAAAAAAAAAAAAAAAAAAAAAAAAAAAAAAAAAAAAAAAAAAAAAAAAAAAAAAAAAAAAAAAAAAAAAAAAAAAAAAAAAAAAAAAAAAAAAAAAAAAAAAAAAAAAAAAAAAAAAAAAAAAAAAAAAAAAAAAAAAAAAAAAAAAAAAAAAAAAAAAAAAAAAAAAAAAAAAAAAAAAAAAAAAAAAAAAAAAAAAAAAAAAAAAAAAAAAAAAAAAAAAAAAAAAAAAAAAAAAAAAAAAAAAAAAAAAAAAAAAAAAAAAAAAAAAAAAAAAAAAAAAAAAAAAAAAAAAAAAAAAAAAAAAAAAAAAAAAAAAAAAAAAAAAAAAAAAAAAAAAAAAAAAAAAAAAAAAAAAAAAAAAAAAAAAAAAAAAAAAAAAAAAAAAAAAAAAAAAAAAAAAAAAAAAAAAAAAAAAAAAAAAAAAAAAAAAAAAAAAAAAAAAAAAAAAAAAAAAAAAAAAAAAAAAAAAAAAAAAAAAAAAAAAAAAAAAAAAAAAAAAAAAAAAAAAAAAAAAAAAAAAAAAAAAAAAAAAAAAAAAAAAAAAAAAAAAAAAAAAAAAAAAAAAAAAAAAAAAAAAAAAAAAAAAAAAAAAAAAAAAAAAAAAAAAAAAAAAAAAAAAAAAAAAAAAAAAAAAAAAAAAAAAAAAAAAAAAAAAAAAAAAAAAAAAAAAAAAAAAAAAAAAAAAAAAAAAAAAAAAAAAAAAAAAAAAAAAAAAAAAAAAAAAAAAAAAAAAAAAAAAAAAAAAAAAAAAAAAAAAAAAAAAAAAAAAAAAAAAAAAAAAAAAAAAAAAAAAAAAAAAAAAAAAAAAAAAAAAAAAAAAAAAAAAAAAAAAAAAAAAAAAAAAAAAAAAAAAAAAAAAAAAAAAAAAAAAAAAAAAAAAAAAAAAAAAAAAAAAAAAAAAAAAAAAAAAAAAAAAAAAAAAAAAAAAAAAAAAAAAAAAAAAAAAAAAAAAAAAAAAAAAAAAAAAAAAAAAAAAAAAAAAAAAAAAAAAAAAAAAAAAAAAAAAAAAAAAAAAAAAAAAAAAAAAAAAAAAAAAAAAAAAAAAAAAAAAAAAAAAAAAAAAAAAAAAAAAAAAAAAAAAAAAAAAAAAAAAAAAAAAAAAAAAAAAAAAAAAAAAAAAAAAAAAAAAAAAAAAAAAAAAAAAAAAAAAAAAAAAAAAAAAAAAAAAAAAAAAAAAAAAAAAAAAAAAAAAAAAAAAAAAAAAAAAAAAAAAAAAAAAAAAAAAAAAAAAAAAAAAAAAAAAAAAAAAAAAAAAAAAAAAAAAAAAAAAAAAAAAAAAAAAAAAAAAAAAAAAAAAAAAAAAAAAAAAAAAAAAAAAAAAAAAAAAAAAAAAAAAAAAAAAAAAAAAAAAAAAAAAAAAAAAAAAAAAAAAAAAAAAAAAAAAAAAAAAAAAAAAAAAAAAAAAAAAAAAAAAAAAAAAAAAAAAAAAAAAAAAAAAAAAAAAANTATGTCTATAATGTATGTGATTTTATTGTGTTTGTCAATGAGTGTGATGTCTGGTCTGTTGTGGTAAATTGTTTTATCTGTGATTATGGCTCTGTCGTAGTACATTTTGTGCGTGTTGTTTTCCAATACTGTTTGTGGTATATATTTGTAGTATGGTTCGTGAATGTCTAATAATTTGTGTTTATTTGGAAACTCTTGGTGTATTATATTTGCTACTTGATTATGTCTGTGTAAATTATCTGTCTGTGTAAATTATCTGTCTGTGCCAAGGGCTTGCACTTAGATGTAATGTGTTGTATAGTTTCTGGCATGATGTGACATTTTCTGCATGTGTCATTTGTGAGTGTTGTATCTTTGAGTATGTGTTTTCTGTAGTTTTTAGTATTTATGACCTGATCCTGTATGGCAATCATGAATCCTTCCGTCTCCCCAAAGAGGCATCCCCGATCTAACCAGCTGTTTGACGCAGTTTTGTCAACAAAATCCTGGGCCAGATCATAAGGATGCCTGCCATGGAGTGCCTTTTGAGCCCACGATTGCTTGATGGTGTCTATGCTTTTTGTGTGTTGTGTCATGTCTGTATGATGTGAGTGTAAGTTTAATGGTGTGTTATTTGAATCTGCTAGAGTTACTGCTTTATATAACTGTGATGTTTCTTGTAGAAAAACTCTCGCAGTGACTGTATTTGTTTGTAGTGAAGGTTAACTATGTCAATCAGGCCACGTCTGCCATCTTTACGTGGAAGGGTTAATCTTTCTATGGCGGCTTTAGGATGATGTTGTTTATGCTTAGTAATTGTTGTTCTTGTTTTCCTTTGGAGTTGCTCAAGATCTGTGTGGGTCCAATGTTTAACTCCAAAAGAGTATGTGAGTACTGGGATGACATATGTGTTTATTGCTTTAACTGTGTTCTGAGAATAGCATTTAACCTACTTTGGTATTCTTTAATTGATCTTTGCTTTATTTGTGTGTGTTCTGTTAGTTTAGCCTGTTGGAATCCTAAATACTTGTAGAACTTGCCCTCTTCCATGGATTCAATAACGTCTCCATTTCCAAGTGAAAAATCTTCTTTCTTCAGGATTCCTTTTTCTATGTGTAGTTTTTTGCATTTGTCTAAGCCAAAATTCCTTTTGTATGTCTTTGGTGTATGAATGTGTGATTTGTAGAAGTTGATGAAGTTGTTTCTGTGTGGATGCATAAAGTTTTATGTCATCCATGTACATGAGAT